CCCCCGTCCCCATCCCCCGGGAGCGGGGCCAGGGCTATTTATAGCGCTCCAGCACACTGGGACACAGAGGAGCAGAGGCCTCACATCCCCTGCCCGGCCCCATCGCATCCCCCGGAGCCCCAGCGCTCCTGCCCCGAAAGGGCGAACCCTCCCCGGGGGCGCTTCCCGCGACCCCGCCGGCCTCGGGTGTCACCGCGCTCCTCGCCCTGCGCCCCGCGGGGACAGCACGAGGCCCTGGCCCCGGCCAGGCAGGGCGAGGGTGACGGGGACGAGCAGCGCTGCTCAAGGAGGGGGAGCTGCTGCGGCTCTCTCTCCCATTCCCATAGTTCCATTTTTGCCCATTTTTTGGGTTTTCCACCCCATTTCTCCCCCTCCATCCCTCGCAGTCTCTCTGCCCCATTCCCATATTTCCCATATTCCATTTTTGCGATTTTCACCCCATTTCTCCCCCTCCATCCCTTGCAGTTTCTCTCCCCCATTCCCATATTTCCAGTTTTCCCCCATTTTTGTCCATTTTTGGGGTTTTTTCACCCCATTTCTACCCCTCCATCCCCCGCAGTCTCTCTCCCCCATTCCCATATTTCCATTTTTGCCCATTTTTGGGGTTTTTCACCCCATTTCTACCCCTCCATCCCTTGCAGTCTCTCTCCCCCATTCCCATATTTCCATTTTTGCCCATTTTTGGGGTATTTCTCCCCCACGCAAACGTACACCCCCAGGGATGGGGGACTCCTCTGCACCCCCTGTGCGAGCAGCGCCCCTCCGGGAGCCCTCAGAGAGGCAGGACAGGGGACACTGGGGACATTGGCAGTGTCCCAGCCCCTCTGGGTGACGGCCACTCCCCTGCCCCGGACCCGCGTCCCTCCTCGGGGGTTTCCGCCAGCCCCACAACGGGGGCTTTGTGGGTGCAGCCCACAATGGTGGCTCTGTGCCGGCATGAGGAGCCCATCCCACCCCACAGCGAGACCCCAGCATGGAACCTCCCCCAAGAGGCCCCTCCACATCTAGAACTTTCCAGCAAAAAAAAAAAAAAAAAAAATCCCAAATTTGCAGAGCGGCAACTCAGGGATGGCAGCAGGGCGGGACCCCGCGGGGCTCAGCCCCTCCCAGGTGTGTCCCTCACCTGTTTCCAGAGGAAAGGGTCGGTGGCATTGCGGTGCCAGGCGATGGCGAGGTGCAGGGCGGACAGCAGGACCCCGGCCAGCACCGCCGCCCTCATCCGCACGGGCAGCAGCGTGTAGGTGATGTAGATGAAGAAAACGCTCCACCAAACGCCCTCGGCAGCGCTTCGGGGAGCCACGGCCACCGTGCCCAGCGCCTGCACCCCGGCCAGCAGCCCCAGCACCACGTAGCTCACCACCCACATGTAGTCCTGGGGGAAAGCGCTGCGGCTGCACAGCACCATGAGGAGCAGGAACAGCGCCGTGGCACCGGCCAGCGCGGCGGCCGCCGGCACGTGGGGGGCACCGGGCAGGCAGAGGAAGAGCAGCATCACCCCGCAAACCAGCACCAGCACTCCCATCAGCACCGTCAGGCTGCTCTGGTTCATCTGGAAGAAGTAGCGCTGGTAAAGCCGCTCCAGTTTGGCCGACTGGAAGCGTTTGGAGCGGAAAACCTGGAGCAGGCGCCGCCAGCACTCGCCCGCCGACGGCCGCCCCCCGTGTCCCGCCGCTGCCTTGGGCGCCTTGGCCTCGCCGTCCTCCAAGCCCGCGTCCACGGATTTGAGTCCCAGCTCGCCCGAGGGCCCCTTCTTGCCGTAGTGATCCTCCTGCCAAGTGCAGCGCAGCCCCCGGGGGGGTCCCGCGCCCCGCTCCATCTCAGGGTCCTGCAGGCAGCTCATGTAGCGGGGGCCGCAGAGGCCGCCCCGGGGCCGCGGGCCCTTCTTGCCGTTGCGCTCCCCCCATGCCGTCTTCCGCTCGTCCACCTTGGGCACCAGGATGCCGCTGAACCACGACATGCTGTGGGCACCGAGGAGGGGTCACGGCCTGGTCCTCCCACCCCGACACCCCAACAGGAGCCCCGGTGTGCGCGGGGGTGCAAAGCCGCGCGAGGAGTGGAGGGTTCTGATGTCCCCACCACCATCCTGGGGATGCAGAGCCCAAATCCCAGCTCTCCCATGGGCCCTGTGCTGGGTTCCCGGTGCCCCAATGTCCCGGTGCTGGGTGCCCGGTGCACAGCGCTGGGTTCCCGGTGTCGGGTTCCCGTTGTCCCGGTGCCCAGTGTCCCGGTGCCCGGTGCGTGGCCCTGCCGAGGCCGCCCCGAGCCCGCCCTTCCCGGTGCAGCGACCTGCGACAAAGCTGGGACCGACCCGGCCGTCCCGGCCCTGTTTGTCTTGAACGGCGGCCAACGGGTTTTACCGGGCACGGCCGCCCCGGGGCACCGGGAACCAGCCGGGACGTGGCAGCCGGTCCCTGCTCCGGGCGAGCGGCGGCGGAGAACGGCCACCGGGAAGGGCCGGCCCCGGTGGCGGCGGCGGCGGCCGCCTCCCTCCTCCCCTCCCTCCCTCCCTCCCTCCCCGCTCCGGGCACGGGAGCCCCGCCGAGCCCGGCCCGTTCACCGGGACCCACCAGCGCCCTCCGGCCGCCGCACCGGACGCTCCCACCGCACCGGACCCCCCCGGGGGCCGCACCGCTCCCGCCGCCCGGGGGCCCAGCCCGGTGTCGCCCCCCCGCCCTAATCCCAGTTCCAGTTCCCAGTCCCGATCGCGGTCCCGGTGCCGATCCCCGCCGCCGCCGCCGCCCCGATCCAACCCCCCCCGGCCCCTCCCGCCGCTCCCGGTGCGCCCGGGCGGCCCCGCTCACCTCCGCCTCCGGCGCCGCCGGCCGCGGGGCCCCGCGCCCCGCCACGGCCCCGCCGCCGCCGCCGCCCGCTCCTACACGGCGGCCGCGCCGCGTTCCCGCCGCCCCATCTCGCGCCCAGGCCGGGCCCCCGGTGGCGGCGGTGGCGGCCCCGGTCCCGGTCGCGGCCGCGCAGCCCCGGCCCGCCCCGGCCGGTGCCCGCCCCCCCCCCCCCCCCCCCCCGCCCGGATCCGCTCCCGGGCGCTCCCGGCCGGGCGGCCTTAAAGGCGCAGCGGCGGCGGCGGGAACGGCCCGGTACGGCCCGGAGCGGCGGGGGCGGACGCGCACCCCCGGGGCTGCGCACACGCGCACGGACACACGGACACGGACACACGGACACGGACACACGCGCCGACATGGCAGGGACCCCCGTGTCCGCACAACCCCCGCGAGTGTGTCACTTGCACACCCACCCCAGTGCCCCCAGCACCTTCCCCCTGCACACATCCCAGTGCCCGCCTTGCACACGCACGCACTGCACACCCTGGCACACGCGTGTTGCACGCGCACACACACGAATCCCTTTGCACACCCGCGGCCAGCACACACACCTACACGCACGCATCCCCTTGCACACGCACACACACAAACCCTTACACACACAGATATTGCACGTACACGCCCTCCTTGCGCATTTACACGCCTTTGCACATTTACACGCCCTTGCACACTCAGGCAGCCCCGTTATGCACTCCCATATAGACATAGAGATATGTGTGTGCAAACACATGAATCCCCGTGTTCACACTCCTGTGCAACCCCTTAGGCACAGCAGGTGTGCACGCAGGTGTGGGTGCACACACAGAGCCCTTACACACGCAGTTTGCACACGCAGCCCTTGCACACACACAGACACTCACAGGGCCACGCACCTCCCTCACCCACACCCCACACACTTCACACACTCTGCCTTGCACACACACGTACACCCACCCCTTGCACACTCACCTTTACACATACACAGCCCTTACACACACCGCCCCACCTTCATACACACAGCCCTTGCACACCCCCCGTTATAGCCCCTTTACACACTCACAGCCCCTGTTACACGCACCCTCACCCTGACCCACTCTTTACACACTCACAGCCCCCTTATTCGCACACACACCCTGGCACACCCCTTACACACTCACAGCCCCGTTGTTTGCACAAACACCCTGACCCACTCTTTACACACCCACAGCCCCCATTGTTTGCACACACACCCTGACACGTCTCTTGCACACTCACAGCCCCCTTATTTGCACACACGCCCTTACACACAGCCCCTCTTGTTTGCACACACCCTGACACACCCCTTACACACTCATAGCCCCCTTATTTGCACACACACACCCCTTGCAGACCCCTCCATTTCCTCACATCCTCACGCCCACCCTGGCACGGGGGCCCCCATCCCCGGTACCCCACTCGTGTCCGTGGCACCGGCCCTGCCCGCACCCCCACGGCAGCACCTCCCGTATCCCCCCTTCCCTTCCCTTCCCTTCCCTTCCCTTCCCTTCCCTTCCCTTCCCTTCCCTCCCCCGCAGCGGCGGCGGCGCCGGGCCCCGGGGAGCGCTGATTAATCATTAATTAGGAGCCGCCGGCGGGGCCGTGTCCCTGCGGCCCCACGCGGAAGTCCCGACGCGTGGGGGGAGTGCGGGGCTCCGTGGGGCTCCCGGTGCACCCGCGGTCCCGTTCTGCCCCTCCGGGCCGGCGATGCCGCAGCACCGGGACCGGCCAACCCCCGTGGGCTGCGAGCCCCCCCCGGCCCCGCCCGCCCCACGCGGGAGTCCCCGGGGGCGTAACCCCATAGCGGGGGGGATGCCCCGGTGTGGGGGTGGCAGACAGAACCGTGGAAGGGGCACGGTGACAGCAGGAGCCGTCCCGGTGGGATGCGGGCGGAGGGGCTCCCGCATCCCCGCACGCGCGTGGGCAGGGCTGCGGCGGCCCCCGGGGGGCTCCCGTCGCCCGGTACGGCGCCGCCGGTGCCCGCAGCACTGCGGGTTGTGGGCAGGCTCCGCTGCCGGTGCCTCCCGGTGGCTGCCCAGCTGCGGGGGCGCGGAGCGGCCGCCGCGGGGATGGGCGCGGGGGCGGGCGGGCGGGGGCGGGGACGGCCGGGACGCCCCGGCGGCCCCGTGTGATGCGGAGCGCGGCGGTGGCGGCGGCGGCGCGGCCCTTCCCCGCCGAGCGCCGCGGTCCGGTGTGGGGCTGCCCCGCCGGGATCCCCGCGGCTCCTCCGGTGGGCGCCGCCGGGGATGTCCGCCCCGGCGCAGCCTGACGCTTCCGGCTCCTTCCAGGTGAGCACAGCGGAGCCTTCCCGGCCGTGGCAGGCCCCGTGCGGCCCGGTTCGGTTCTGCCCGCAGAGCCGGGGGCCGCCGGCGGTGGCTCCGTGGCGGGGCCGAGCCGCCCGGAGCCGCCCGGTGCTCACCGCCCGCTCTCGCCGCAGAGCCCCCGGAGGCTCCCGAAGCGCAAGAGCCGCTTCAAGCGCTCGGACGGCAGCACCTCGTCCGACACCACCTCCAGCATCCTCCGCAGGCAGGTGAGCGGGCCGGCACCGGTACCTACACCGGCACCGAGACCGGCACCGGGGCGGGGCAGCCTCGGCAGCCCCGGGTCCGCCGCTGCTGCGGCTCCGCATTAACGCGCGGAGCCGGGGTGGGGAGCGGGGAGCGGCCGAGCGTCTCCCACCCCAACCTCCGCACTGGAGGGAGCTCGGGGGCCGCCTCCGCCCCGCCGCTCCCCCGGGACCGGGGCTGGGCGCCGGCACCGGGCGCCGGTAGCATCGCAACAGCCGCTCCCCGCGGCTAAAAATAGCGAGTGCTGCGTCAGGGCCGGGCCGGCGGCGGGCACCGGCACTGCGGCGCGGGGGGCGGCCCCGGGAAACTGAGGCAGCGGAAGGGGACCGGGCCAGGCGGGGCTGTAGAAGCGGCCGCGGGGCTCCCCTGCCGCTCGCTCAACCGGCGGCACCGGGCCGGCTCCCCGCGCTGCCCGGGAGAGGCACGGAGCTCCCCGCCGCCCCTCCGCCGGCGCTTCGGTTCCTCCGGCCCCGAGCTGCGCCCCCTCCCCGGCCGCCGGCGGTGAGCGGGTACCGGGGAGGCTCCGCGGAGGGCGGGGGGTTCCGGTCGGGGCGGCCCCGGGGGCGCAGAGCGGCCGGAGCATCCCGAGTCCCTCGTGGGGCAGCGCCCGCTGTTCCGGTACTCCCCGGTACCCCCGGGGACCCCGCGACCCGGCCCAGCGCCCGGCGCGGCCCCTTCAGCACCTCGGAGAGGGCCCGGCTGGGCCCCGCCATGTGCCCGGTACCGGGGCCCGTTCTCCATTCTGGTGCCCGGTGCCGGTGTCCGCGGGCGGTGCCGCCGCTGGCCGAAGCCCCCACCCCGCCGAGCGCTGTATCTCCGATATCCCCGGGCCGGCCGTGAGCTGTCCCGGGCCGGTCCCGCCGCTCGGTAACGGGGCGGGCCGGCCCGGTCCCCCGGGACCCGTCGCTGCCCCCCTCACGGGGGCGGGAGGGGGGGGGGCGCGGCGGGGGGGGGGGGGGGCGGGAGCGGCTCCGGCCCCGCCGCAGGGCTCGCCCTGCAGACGGGGCTGCTGCCGGCTCGGGGCAGGACCGGAGCCGCTGCACCGGAGCATGGAGGTACCCACTGGGACCCCCCCGCCGCCGCCCCGGAACCCCGAGCAGGCTGCACAGCCCCTCCGCCGCTGCCCTGGGACTCTGCTCTCACCCGGAGCTCTCTTAGCAAACTATCCCCCCCCTCCGGGGCATCGGGAGCTGCTCCGGTGACCGGTCCGGGTGCACCTCACCGGGACCGCTCCGGTTTCCCGGTTGCCAGCGCAGCCCCCCTCGCTGTCCCCACCGGAGAGGGGCTGGAACCTCCCGCCAGCACCGGGAAGGGGGAACGGCGACCCCCAACAGCACCCACCCACCCACTCCCCCCACCGGGCTGAGCGGCGGGGGCGGCTCCGTGAGCCCCGGGGGGGCGGTGGGAGGCGGGGGCGGGGAGGGGCGGTGGCGGCGGAGCGGGCAGGGCCAGCCGGAGCCCGAGCCGCAGCCGGAACCGGAGCCGGTGCCGGTGGAGCGGGGCGGGCGGGGGGGGCTCGGCTCGGCTCGCCCCGTCTATGTCGTTTTCTGACTCCAGCGCTACCTTCCTGCTCAACGAGGTACCGGCTCCGGTACCGGCTCCGGTACCGGGGGGAGCGTGCGCGGGGGGTCGCGGTGGGTTCGGGGGGGGAGCTCTGCGCCCCCTGGGGTGGTGATGGCGCACGAGGGGGCTGCGCCTCGGGGGGGGCCGTGCCCGGTGCGGGGCTCATGGCCGGTGCGGGGGGGGCTGTGCCGCCCCCCGGCCCTTTGTTCCTCGCCGCCGCCACCGCTCCCGTCCCCCCCCAACCACCGGGACCGGGCGGGGAGAGAACCCCGATCCCCACGGCCGGGGGGGCTGCTTTGGGGGGGGTGTCGTGCGTGAGGGGGGGGCTGGGGATGCCGTACCGGGGGATTCCCTGGGGATAATGGGGGGGTCGCGCTGGGGGGGCAGCCCCGGAACGCTGCGGAGCCACCCTGGTCATGCTGGGGGTGGGTGGGGGATGCTCGGGGCGCGGTGACGATGCTGGGGGGGCCGTGCTGGGGAGGCCATGTTGGGGGGGGCTCTGATGGGATCCATTTTGCCCAGGGGGGCTGCAGGGGGGTCCGGGCTCCCCCCGGTGTGAGCGGGGTGGGATGTGCAGGTTAACGGGGGGGGCGGTGCTGAGCTCAGCCTGGGGGGCCTCGGGGGGGGCTCAGCCACATTCAGGGACCTATAAATATTTCACCGCAGCTTCTGCGCCTGTTCCCGGCGCAGCGGGCGGTGGGTAAATACCGGAGCGGCGAGGAGGGGGAGCCGGGGGTGCTGGGCTGAGCACCCCAGGGTGGTGGTTTGGGGGGGGACAGGGGTAGAGATTCACATCTCAGCGTGACAAGGGGCATCTCCCCACCCCTGAGCCTGCAGGGGTCTCCCCTGCGACCCCCCCAGCACATGGGGGCTTCACCCCAGGGCAGCTGTGCTGGGTGATGCCACCTGACACAGAGGTGATGCCAGCGCTGGAGGGCGGCAGCAGGGTCCCCTCCCGAGGTTGGCACGGGGTCCCTCGTTGTGGGGGTACCCTCGCAGCCCCCCGGCACTGACCCCGCTCCCCCAGGGCTCGGCGGACTCCTACACCAGCCGCCCTTCCCTGGACTCCGACGTGTCCCTGGAAGAGGACCGTGAGGGCGCCCGGCGCGAGGTGGAGAGCCAGGCTCAGCAGCAGCTCGAGAGGGCCAAGGTACGGACGGGGAGACACCCGGGGCACGGCTCGGGGCTGCTGCCGGGGCCCAGGGGTGCTGATCACCCCCAAAATCCCCCAGCACAAGCCGGTCGCCTTCGCTGTGCGCACCAATGTCAGCTACTGCGGGGCGCTGGATGAGGAGTGCCCGGTGCAGGGAGCCGCCATCAACTTCGAAGCCAAAGATTTCCTGCACATCAAGGAGGTCAGCTGGGGTGCTGAGGGGTCTGCTCGGGGCCAGGCGCCTCCCCTACCCTCACCTCTGCCCTGTCCTCGCCCAGAAATACAGCAATGATTGGTGGATCGGGCGCCTAGTGAAGGAGGGGGGGGACATCGCCTTCATCCCCAGCCCCCAGCGCCTGGAAGCCATGAGGCTGAAGCAGGAGCAGAAAGCCAGGTAGGGATGGGACCCCCGGCCCCACTCCGGGACCCCCAGCCCCGTTCCAGGACCCCCAACACCCGCTCACACCCCCTCGTTCCCCAGGAGAGCTGGCAATGCCTCGGGCCTCGGCGACAGCGGGAGCCGGCGATCGCCTCCCCCCTCCTTAGGTAAGGGCAGATCTCGGCCCAGGGGAATCGTGGGGGTCCTGAGGGGGTCCCCACTTTACTGTCACCAACCTCTGTCTCTTCTCTCCCCAAGCCAAGCAGAAGCAGAAGCAGGTGAGTCCCAGGTGCGGGGGGTGGTGGGGAGGGGGCTGTGGCTGTGAGCAGAGACCCCCTCCCCTCTTTTCCCTGCTCATGGGGCTGGGGGGCTCTGGGATGCTCTGGAATGGGCTCGATGCCCCCTCCTGGGCTGGGGGTGGGGACACAGGGCATTAACACCCCCTGTGTCCCCCTGCAGACGCAGCACATCCCACCCTACGACGTGGTCCCCTCCATGCGGCCCGTGGTGCTGGTGGGGCCCTCGCTGAAGGGATATGAGGTACGGATGGGGGGACGCAGCGTGGTGGCCTGTGTCCCTTGTCCCCTCCCTGGCCACGGTGTGCCGGCAGAGGGCAGATGGCGCGGCCCGGGGTGGTGGCACGGTGCTGAGCGGCTGCCACCTCCCCGCCGGTGCCATCTGCCGCGGCTCACGGCGCTGGCGGCCCCTCGGCAGGTCACCGACATGATGCAGAAAGCGCTCTTCGACTTCCTCAAGCACAGATTCGATGGCAGGTGAGAGCATCACCCCACCCTGAACCCCCCTCCCTGCACGGCCTGGGGGTCCCCAGGTGCCCACGGTGTCCCTGTGTCCCCTCAGGATCTCCATCACCCACATCACAGCCGACCTGTCCCTGGCCAAGCGCTCCATCCTCAACAACCTGGGCAAGCAGGCAATCCTGGAGCGCTCCACCACCCGCTCCAGCATCGGTGAGGGTTCAGGCTCCCCCTCTGGGGTGCAGGGACCCCCTCCCAGGGCCAGCCCAGCCTCACACGCCCCCCCCGTGTCCCCTCAGCCGAGGTGCAGAGCGAGATCGAGCGAATCTTCGAGCTGGCCAAGTCCCTGCAGCTGGTGGTGCTGGACGCTGACACCATCAACCACCCAGCCCAGCTGGCCAAGACCTCCCTGGCACCCATCATCGTCTACGTCAAGGTGTCCTCCCCCAAGGTGAGGGGGCACCACGGCTCTGGGGGGGGGTCCTGGCTGCCCCCCGCGGTGCTGTCACCCCCTCGTCCCCTCCCCAGGTCCTGCAGCGCCTCATCAAGTCCAGGGGGAAGTCGCAGGTGAAGCACCTGAACGTGCAGATGATGGCAGCTGACAAGCTGGTGCAGTGTCCCCCGGTGAGCCACTGTCCCCCAACCCTGGGGATGCCAGGGGGGACCCCCAAACCCTCCCTGAGCCCTCTCACTGCCCCCCCAGGAGCTCTTTGATGTGATCCTGGATGAGAACCAGCTGGAAGACGCCTGTGAGCACCTGGCTGAGTACCTGGAGGTTTATTGGCGTGCCACGCATCACCCACCACACGCCCCCCACGCTGTGCCCTCGCCCACTGGCCTGCCAGGCCTGCAGGTAACCCCATGGCACCCCCCTGGCAGCTGGGGGGACACACAGCCCCCCACACTGTCCCCATACCCCCCTCCCTACTCCCCACTGGAACTGGGGGGACACACCCCCCCACTGCTCCCTATGGACAGTTGGCACAGGGCTCCAAAGATGGGGTGGGGGGCACACGCAGCCCCCTCCCTCTTTCCCATGGACACCCAGCCCAGGGTGCCAGGGTTGGTGGGGGCACACAGAGCCCCCTCCCTGCTTCCTATGGACACACAGCCCAGGGTGCCAGGGCAGAGGGGGCACAGAACCCATTCTGTGCTTCCCATGGACACCCAGCACAGGGTGCCAGGGCCTGGGGGGCACAGAGCCCCCTCCCTGTTTCCCACGGGGACCCAGCCCAGGGTGCCAGGGCCGGGGGGGGGTACAGAACTCATTCCCTGCTTCCTATGGACACCCAGCCCAGGGTGCCAGGGCAGGGGGGCACACACAGCCCCCACCTCTGCACCCCCTGCCCGCAGAGCCAGCAGCTGCTGGGCGAGCGGGGCGAGCACTCTCCACTGGAGCACGACAGCCTGATGCCATCGGACGAGGCGGGGGACACCTCGCCCCAGCCTTGGGGGGCCACATCCCAGCACAGCTCCCGGCACCTGGAGGAGGAAGAGGAGTACGGGGACCCCTACCCCGACCTGTACCAGCCCCACCGGCACCACCACGGCAGCGGCCCCGGCACGCCGGAGCGCGCGGGCGAGCGCAACCACGACAGGAACTGGCAGCGCAGCCGGCCCTGGGCCAAGGACAGCTATTAGGGCTGGGATAAGGGTGGGGGGCACGGCTGGGAACCGGCCCCACCCCCCCAAACCCCGGGCGCTCCCCGCCTCGCCCCAGCCCCGCGCTGGGGGTGCTCAGACAATCGAACTCAGCACCGGCAGCTTCCTCTGGCCCGGCCCCGCCCCGGGCGTGATTTCAGCCATAAGCACAGCGAGGTTGGGGGGTCAGGATGCCCCGGGAGTCCCCGAGGAAGTTTTGGGGAGCCTGGGGACAGACACGCGCCTTGGCCGTGTCCTCAGTGTCCCCCCCACCCATCACAGGTCGGCTCATTCTCCGCAGGGCAGCTGCCACGGACAGTGGGTGCCCCCCCCGATAAAAAGGGGAGGTAAGGAGGGGGGGGGCGGTTGTAGCAGCATCCCCCAGCCCGCACAGAGCCGAGGAAGGAAGGGAAGGTGCCTGCTCATCCCCCCCCGGGACCTGGCCTGCCCCCTCCCCACCCCTGCATGGGACCCCCGGGAGGAGTGGCTCTCACCGCTCTGCACCGATTCCCCCCCGCCCCCGGTCACCGCGGCCACCCCGGCCCCGCCCCCGGCATGGGGAGGGTCCCGGGGGGGCTGCCCGGGCTCTGGGGGCTGCTCCACCACGCTTGCACCACCCACTGCCCTGTCCCCATTGTCCCCATGCTGTCACCGCACGTCACCACAGTCCTGTAAATACGGCGCCCACCGCCCTCGAATGGGGGTCCTGGCGTGGGCTGAGCCCCCCCCCCCCCGCGGCCATTATTGGTGGGGAAGGGGGGGGATGGGGTGGGGGCCACAGATTTGTTATAATTTCTTTTGTAGAAAGCACTGATTTCCCTGTAATTGGTTTCAGAAACACACACGAGTGCTCAGAGCTGCTTGGTGTCCGTGTCTGTGGAGGGGAATGTGGGGGAAGCTGGTTTGGGGAGGGGGGTGCTGAGTACCTCCAAATGCTCCTTTAGGGCACTGCTGGCTTCTGTCCCCATGGGAGGTGGCACCCAGGGGCTGGCAATGCCACCCAGGGATGGGAGAGGATGAGGAGGTGACACCGGTAACGCCGCTGCCGGTTTATTCCTGCAGCCTGGAGCTTCAGCTACAAAAAAAATAAACCCCAAAAGCCCAAAGGATGAGGTGCAGACAGCTCACAGGACAGCCATAAAACCCCAGCCCCACCCTGGCAGCAGGGAGGGACCCGCCCCCAAACAGCCTCCAGCAGCTCCTCCGATCCCTGGGGAAACTGGGAAGGGGACTGGGAGAACAGGGGGGACAATTTGGGATAATCCCAACCCCAATCTCTGCTTGTGGGCAGTCCTGGGGTTGCACAAGGAGCTGGGAAAAACAACGGCCAGAGCACTCCTGGCAGCCCTGCTGGTCCTGCTGTCCCCAGAGGGGTGACAAAGGGGACCCTCAGGCGAAGATGGTCTCCTCCCGCCGCTTCTTGGTGAGGATGGTGCCAGGCTTGTGCTGGGCATCGGGGTGGTTTGCCAGCTCTGGTGGGCACGAGGACACGGGGCTCTCCAGGATGGCCTGTTTGAGGTCGTAGAACACCGTGGAGTCCTCCTTGGTGAGGAAGGTGATGGCCACGCCGCTCTTCCCCGCTCGGCCCGTCCGCCCGATGCGGTGGATGTAATCTGGGAGATGGGAAATGAAGGGTTAAGTGTGGGCAGTGCCAGGGCTGGGCACTCCCTGCACTCCCAGTGCCAGGGCTGGGCACTCCCTGCAGCATCCCCTGCACTCTCAGTGCCAGGGCTGGGCACCCCACAGACCCCTCAGTGTGGCAGCACTCGGGTTGGGCACCCCACAAGTGCCAGAACCAAGGTCAAGTACCACCCACACCACCAGTACCCAGGCTGGGCACCTACAGTGCCCCCAGTACCAGGACCAGACAGCCCCTGGATTCCCAGTACCAGGGCTGGGCACTTCCTCCATCCCAAAAAACAGGGCTGGGCACCCCCCATAACCTCAGCACTGGGGCTGGGCACTCCCTCCATCAAAAGAACCAGGGCTGGGCACCTCTGCAACCCAAGAACCGGGGCTGGGCACCCCCCACACCCTCAGCACCAGAAGTGGGCATCCCCTACACCCTCAGCACTGGGGCTGGGCACCCTCCACACCCTCAGCACCAGGGCTGGGCACTCCCTCCATCACAAGAACCAGGGCTGGGCACCTCTGCAACCCAAGAACCGGGGCTGGGCACCCCCCACACCCTCAGCACTGGGGCTGGGCACCCCCCACACCCTCAGCACCGGGGCTGGGCACCCCCCACACCCTCAGCATTGGGGCTGGGCACCCCCCACACCCTCAGCACCAGGAGTGGGCATCCCCTACACCCTCAGCACTGGGGCTGGGCACCCCCCATAACCTCAGCATTGGGGCTGGGCATCCCCTACACCCTCAGCACTGGGGCTGGGCACTTCTGCAACCCCAGAACCAGGCCTGGGCACCCCCTCCATCCCAAGAACCAGGCCTGGGCACCTCTGCACCCCCCTTAGTGAGGGCAGTACCAGGGCCAGGCACCCCCTGCACACCCAGCACCAGCCTCTTCAGTGTGGCAGCACCAGGGCTGAGCAACCCCCCAAAGCCCCTCCAGGGCAGGGAACACCAGGACCAAGCCCCCCAGCGTGGGCACAGCCCCCCCAGTGCCCCCCTGAGTGCCCCCCAAGCCTCACCCTCGATGTTCTTGGCCATGTCGTAGTTGACCACCATGGAGACATCGTGGATGTCGATGCCACGTCCGGCCACGTCCGTGGCCACCAGGATGTCCTTGGCTCCAGCCTTGAGGTTGGAGAGGGCGAATTCTCTCTGCTCCTGGCCCTTGCCACCGTGCAGGGTGCAGGCATTGTACTGTGGGAACAGGGGGGTGAATGGGGGCACAGCCCTGGCACAGATGTATTTGATAAAAATCCTTTGCTTAGGATTTTTCCTCCTGAGAGGCTGAGAGGCCTCAGGAACAAAATGTAAACATTGATTATCTGCTGCTGTGGAATGCAACAGGTGCATCTGTGATTGGCCCATGTTAGTTGTTTCTAATTAATGGCCAATCACAGTCAATGATTATCTGCTGCTGTTCAGACCCCTCCAAACACCACCACATTTGGTGACCCCAAGTGATGAAAAATTCCACACATCCCCACGTGGGGATGAGGGGGACAGGGCTCAGGGTGGGCCCCTGGCACAGATATCTTTTATGAAAAATCCTTTCCTTAGGATTTTTCCTCCTGAGAAGCTGAAAGGCCTCAGGAACAAAATGTAAACAATGATTATCTGCTGCTGTGGAATGCAACAGGTGGATCTTTGATTAGCCCATGTTAGTTGTTTCTAATTAATGGCCAATCACAGTCAGCTGGCTTGGACTCTCTGTCTGAGACACAAACCTTTGTTATCATTCTTTGCTATTCTATTCTTAGCCAGCCTTCTGATTAAATCTTTTCTTCTATTCTTTTAGTATAGTTTTAATATAATATATATGATAAAATAATAAATCAAGCCTTCTGAAACATGAAGTCAGATCCTCGTCTCTTCCCTCATCCTGAGACCCCTCTGAACACCACCACGTTTGGTGACCCCGAGTGATGAAAAATTCCACACATCCCCACATGGGGATGAGGGTGACAGGGCTCAGGGTGACCCCTTCCCAGCCCAGCCTCACCCCCATCTTCTCCAGGGACTTGGCCAGCACATCACAGCCCTTCTTCTGGTTGACGAAGATGATGATGGGCGGGTCGAAGCCTTGCTCCAGGATGGCCAACAGCTTCTTCCTGTAAGAGCACAAAGAGGAGGAGGAGACAGTTGGGCAAAGAGATGCTGAAGGCTCAGGCCACCCCTAAATCCGTGCTCCTCACCTTTTCTCAGATTCAGACATGAGGAACACCTTCTGCTCCACCCTCTCGTGGGGTTTGCCAGCGGAGCCGATGTAAACCACGGCCGGGCGCCGCAGGTAACTGCGGGCCAGGCGCTCCACGGCCGGGGGCATGGTGGCTGTGAACATGACAGTCTGCAAGGCAAGGGCACAGGGACAGCCTGTCAGGTGGCAGTGTGCCCCCAGTGAGGAAGGAATGATCCTGGTGGGGCAGGAATGTCCTCCCCCACATGGAGCACGAACATCACCCAAGGAGCAGGAATATCCCCAGTGAGGTAGGAATGCCTCTGATGGGGTAGGAATGTCCTCCCCCATGGAGCAAGAGCATCACCCAAGGGGCAGGAACATCCCCCAATGAAGCAGGAACAACCCCAGTGGGGCAGGAACATCACCCATGGAGCAGGAACATCACCCAGTGAAGAGGAATGACCCCAGAGGGGCAGGAATGTGATCCCATGGAGCAGGAAGATCCTGCAGTGAGGTGGGAACGCCTCTGATGGGACAGGAATGTGCCCCACATGGAGCAGGAACATCCCCCATGGGGCAGGAACATCCCTCAATGAAGCAGGAATGACTCCAGAGGGGCAGGAATGTCCTCCCACGGAGCAGGAACATCACCCACGGAGCAGGAACATCACCCACGGAGCAGGAATGATCCCAGTGGGGCAGGATTGTCCCTTATGGAGCAGAACTGTCCCCACAGGAAAAAGGTCCCCTTGTGGGGCAGGAATGACCCCTCATAGGGCAGGAACATCCTATGTGAGGCAAGAACGTTCCTCCACAGAGCAGAAACGTGACTCCCATCCCCTCAACCCCTTCCCCAAAACCCCAAATTCTCCCTCCCCACCCCACAGGAACCCTCCTAGACCCCCTTTACCCACACCCACCTGTCTGTACTTGTGCTTCCCGGACTCAAAGTTGGCCAACATCTTCTCAGGGTCCTCAGCCTCGTCGGTGTCGGGTTTCTGGTTGGTGACAGGCATGTGCTCCAGGATCTTCTGCACGTCAGGCTCGAAGCCCATGTCGATCATGCGGTCGGCCTCGTCCAGCACCACGTAGGTGCAGCGGCTCAGCACCAGGTACCGGTTCTCCAGCACGTCAATGAGCCGGCCCGGGGTGGCAATGACAATCTGAGGGGACAGGAGGGTTGGTGGGAGCAGCTCAAGGCTGAGAAGACCCCCTTGAGACACCCCAACTTGTCAGAAAGTTCCTCTGATTGCCCTAGAAGCAGAGAGCTTCCAGGTCTAAGAAGACCTTGGCTCAGAATCAGACACCTCTGCGTGTCTTTGACAAGGAACGTGATCTCATGGAGAAGGAACATCCCTCAATGAAATAGGAATAACCCCATAAAGACACCTCTATGTGTCTTTGACAACCCCAGTGGGGCAGGAACGTGATCCCATGGAGCAGGAACATCCCACAATAAAGTAGGAATGAACCCACAAATACACCTCTGTGTGTCGTTAACTCTGCGTTTTC